GAGGAGCACCGCCTTGAGAAAAAAAGGGTGAAGCCTCGAGCGGAAGCGTTGTTTTTGCTGGGGGCGGCGCCAATGAGAGAAAGACTAGCGCGCCAGTCCAAGGTAAAACGGGAGGAAGTCTCGAGACCGTTGGTTTTTTGGGGACGGCGGTTTTCGGCGGCGAGCATGAACACCAGCCCTGAGTAAAAAGGGAAGAAATCTCGAACAGGAGCGTTGTTGTTGTTGGGGGGCTGATTATGACGGGGCCGCCAAACCGATCGAGCGTGAGCCGCATTTCCAATCAAGGGCAGCAGCGTGGAATAGGGATTCCCCGCTGCAATGTCCCGGCGGAGAACCGCGGGCCACGCGGGGGCTCGTCGTCGGGCCCTCCGCCAGTGGCTCCTCCTTCTTCTCCTTGTCGTCCCCCGCCCCCAATCGACCCCCTTGAAACCCTGCGGGGGGCAGTCCCACGAGCATGGCCGAAATGTGGCTGAGGCAACTCCACTCGCCTGAACCCCCCCGGGAAAAACGATCAGAAGGGGGGTTGCACTCGAATGCGCGACGACCTTGCGCGGTGGCTCACGCAGGCCGCTCGCGCGGCAGACGCGCGAACTTACGAGGGCGGCATGCGCGCGAGTGCCCGCGCAATCGACCCCCTTGAAACCCTGCGGGGGGCAGTCCCACGAGCGTGGCCGAAACGTGGCTGAGGCAATTCCACTCGCCTGACCCCCCAGGGAGAAACGATCAGAAGGGGGGTTGCACTCGATTGCGCGACGACCTTACGCGGTGGATCATGCAAGCCGCTCGCGCGGCAGACCGCATCAAGGCGCCTACGCGCCACCTTCCGCGGGCAGCTTACGCACAAGTGCACGCGCAATCGACCCCCTTGAAACCCTGCGGGTGCGCCCTCCCGCGGGCGCTTTGAAATGTGTCGCCCGGTTGCGGTTGCGGTTGCGGTTGCGCGCTCCCGCGGGCGCTTTGATATGTGTCGCCCAGTTGCCGTTGCGGTTGCGGTTGCGCGCTCCCGCGGGCGCTTTGAAATGTGTCGCCCGGTTGCGGTTGCGGTTGCGCGCTCCCGCGGGCGCTTTGAAATGTGTCGCCCGGTTGCGGTTGCGGTTGCGAGCCCGCGGGCGCTTTGAAATGTGTCGCCCGGTTGCGGTTGCGGTTGCGAGCCCGCGGGCGCTTTGAAATGTGTCGCCCGGTTGCGGTCGCGGTTGCGGTTGCGCCCGCGGGCGCTTTGAAATGTGTCGCCCGGTTGCGGTTGCGGTTGCGGTTGCGCGCTCCCGCAGGCGCTTTGAAATGTGTCGCCGGGTTGCGGTTGCGGTTGCGCGCCCGCGGGCGCTTTGAAATGTGTCGCCCGGTTGCGGTTGCGGTTGCGGTTGCGCGCCCGCGGGCGCTTTGAAATGTGTCGCCCAGTTGCGCTTGCGGTTGCGCGCCCGCGGGCGCTTTGGAATGTGTCGCCCGGTTGCGGTTGCGGTTGCGGTTGCGCGCTCCCGCGGGCGCTTTGAAATGTGTCGCCCGGTTGCGGTTGCGGAATTGCGGTTGCGCGCTCCCGCGGGCGCTTTGAAATGTGTCGCCGGGTTGCGGTTGCGGTTGCGCGCTCCCGCGGGCGCTTTGAAATGCGTCGCCCGGTTGCGGTTGCGGTTGCGGTTGCGCGCCCGCGGGCGCTTTGAAATGTGTCGCCCGGTTGCGGTTGCGGTTGCGGTTTGCGCGCTCCCGCGGGCCTTTGAAATGTGTCGCCCGGTTGCGGTTGCGGTTGCGCGCCCGCGGGCGCTTTGAAATGTGTCGCCCGGTTGCGGTTGCGGTTGCGGTTGCGCGCTCCCGCGGGCGCTTTGAAATGTGTCGCCGGGTTGCGGTTGCGGTTGCGCGCTCCCGCGGGCGCTTTGAAATGTGTCGCCCGGTTGCGGTTGCGTTTGCGGTTGCGCGCTCCCGCGGGCGCTTTGGAATGTGTCGCCAAGTTGGGTTGCGGTTGCCGCCGCCGGGTTGCGCACCCGCGGGCGGTTTGAAATGTGTCTCCCGAGCTGTCCCCTGACGTTCAGTCAGTCATCAGTCACAGCCGGCGGGCACGGAATTTCACCTGGCTCCGCCGGGAATGAAAATGTAGCCGGCGCCTCGGCGAGAGCGCCAGGGCGCCTGTAAGGGGTCCAACAATAATAAGTGTTTCGCAATAAACACTCAACAACAACAACAACAACAACAACAACAACAACAACAACAACAACAACAACAACAACAACAACAACAACAACAACAACAACAACAACACAGCAGCAGCAGCAGCAGCACAACAACAACAACAACAACAACAACAACAACAACAACAACAACAAAACAACAACAACAAACCAACAACAACAACAACAACAACAACAACAATAATAACAATAAAAAAAAAAAAAAAAAAAAAAATCAATAATAGTTTAATAATGTTCGCCCTTATGTGCTCGAGTGCCCTATAACGCGTATTTCCCAAACCCTCGATACCCGCCCTCTTCGTCTTCGATCGAACCCCTTTTGGGGG